GTGTACACACACACACACACACACACACACACACACACACACACACACACACACACGGAAGGAGAACCAAATCATGAAATGGAAGAAACTTTTTTGAAAATTATTTGGTCCAGCCATAATAATCTTCTTCCCAAGGGCCCATAAGAGAAGCTGCAAACGGCGCGAATAGAAAGGATCTAAGTACACCGAGTTCTCTGTCCATCTACTTTATTCCTCTGAGATAAAATTCTGTCTACACAGCTTCAGTTCTGTTCTCGTGCCTAGCTCCTCTCTTGCCTGATTTCTCTCTACCTTTATCTGCTGTCCCCTCTAAGTTCTATCTTAATTCTCTCATCTTAGCTCTGCCCCATCTTGGTCTTTCTCATCTCGTTCTTCCCCATCTGGCTCTTCCTCACCTTCCATCTCATTCTTCTAGTTCTCCATCTAGTTCTCCAGTCAAAATCCCCCTCAGTCTCTGAGGTTTACAGTTATATACCCATGCAATAGCAGTGCTCTAGCTAAAGCAAGGTCACCAGGCTTGAATTCCTACAGGGTTATAAAGTCAGATAAGAGTCTTCCTCAGACAGTGACCATCAGGCTTTCTTTTGCAACCCAAAAGGGGAGTGGTAAAGGAGGAGGTCAACTAAGAGCTAAAATCAGTTAATATATCAGAAAAATGGAATTTGTGTCCTTGAACTACATTCCTAGAGGTGGTTAAGTAAATGTTAGGAGTCTATAATGTTAGTATAAATACCACTAAGGGGCCGGGCAGTGGTGGTACACGACTTTAATCCCAGCACTCGGGAGGCAGAGCCAGGGTGATCTCTGTGAGTTCAAGGCCAGCCTGGGCTACTAGGTGAGTTCCAGGAAAAGGCGCAAAGCTACACAGAGAAACCCTGTCTCGAAAATAAATAAATAAATAAATAGATAAATAAATAAATAAATAAATAAATAAATAAATAAATAAATACCACTAAGGTATATAAAAAAGGAGGGTCTGAGCTTAATTTGCCTTAATTCAGGAGATTGTTTGGCCTTGGATGTTTGATAGGTATTTCAGATAAAATACACTGTTATGAGTTCTTGGAAGCATACATAGCCTAAAGGAAATGATTGCAGGAATCATCATATATATATATAAAAGCTAAAATATCACCAAGACTTCCTAAGCCATGGCTTGACCTTCAGAAAAGTCCTTGACCTTTCCTAGTAGTAGCTTTTGTGATAGTAGCTGAATTCCATTACATTTTCCTGGGGCTGGCAGCAGAGCATAAAGGATGCGGGTGATGATATGAGCACAAAGAAAACTGGAGAGAGAGAAAGAGACACACTTGAGACTGGGGGACAGCCGTGTGTAGATAAAAGTTAACAGATGTCAGGAGGTAGAAGAGAAGGTGATGAGGATGTAGTGGAGAAATTGTGATAAAGAGAAATATGGGGTGGGGTGATGGTGGGTGCCCAACACGAAGACCTGCCGCTGCCTCTTTTCCTAGGAATGCAAGACTTCAATTATCTCCACACCAACTGCTTCGAGATCACACTAGAGCTGAGCTGCAACAAGTTTCCCCCGCAAGAGGAGCTGCAGCGCGAGTGGCTGGGTAACCGGGAAGCCCTGATCCAGTTCCTGGAACAGGTAGGGCGCAGGAGAGGAGCTTCCGGTGGCGGCTGGGGTTCCCGTGGGCTCAGGCCTGGCCCTGGCTCTGACTCAGTGCAACAAATGCTCTACTCGTGGGATTTTTTTCCCTACAGTGTCCTGGAGCATCACTGTCTGTCAAACACTTAATTAACTATAAGCTGAGGACTCTGGGTAAACAAGCATATCTCTGTCTATATGGAACTGCCATTCTAACCAGGACAGACAATAAACAAAATAAGAAAGTAAACTCTGTAAAGTATTAAAAAGAGAAATGCTGTGAAAAAAAGCCTTACGGTGACAGTGATTCTTAAATAAGGAGTCCAAAGATCAGAGGGCCATAGTCAGGCCAGATGTCTAGAGCAGGGGCGCAGTCAGACCAGGTGTCTAGAGCAGGGGCTCCAGGTGTCTAGAGCAGGGGCTCCAGGTGTCTAGAGCAGGGGCTCCAGGTGTCTAGAGCAGGGGTGCCAGGTGTCTAGAGCAGGGGTGCCAGGTGTCTAGAGCAAGGGCAGGGCCCTCCAAAATAGATACATGAAAAAAGCCAAGCTGCACATCTGAAAGCATGCCCAGCATCACCAACCACAAGGAGCTGCCACTCACATGCACTGGAGCGGCTTCTGCCAAAACCAGGAATGACCAGGCTTAGGAGGAGGGGGAGAAACTGGACTCCATGAGCTCTGTTGCTGGGAATGAGAAGTGGCATCATTTCTGTGGGAAACAATGGGACAGCACTTCCAAAACATTAAAGATCAGCCTGAAGTTTAGCTCAGTGATAAAGTACTTGCTTAGCATGAGAGAGACTCAAACGTGGGTCTCCAAATCTGCAAAAGAAACAATTAAAAGAAAATTATCATATTATTCAGCACTGTTCTATCCCAAAGAAGTGAAATCAGATAGACAGGAAGGAAGGAAGGAAGGAAGGAAGGAAGGAAGGAAGGAAGGAAGGAAGGGA